CAGGAATGCACAGGAACGGAGTTCCGTCTGGCTCCCAAGTTGGCCACGCCCAGCAGGAACTCATTAGCATAACAGGCCACACCCAACAGCAGAAACTCATTAGGATTGGCTACAATTAGGGGTGTGTGGCCTAACATGCAAAGGAGTTCCTGGTACAAAGAAAGGCCCTGGGTTTTGACCACAAGCAAGGTAAAGAGAATAAGAAGCAAAAGATGGGTGTGGCTGGGTGACCACACTTCTGGTAACACGGGGGTGTGGCCTAATATGCGAATGAGCTGTGATGTCAGGGGTATGGCCTAATATGCTAATTAGTTCCTGCTGTTGGGTATGGCCTATTATGCTAATGAGTTCCTGCTGGGCTTTTTCTACAAAAAAAGCCTTGATCAGAGATATGTATAACTTCACTGTTTAGTGGCTGGCTCTGCCTCCTGCTGCAGCCATTTTGTGTCTGTGCCCACAACACTCTGTCAGAATTCCAAAAGTGGCTGCAGGCTCAAAAAGGTTGGGGACCTCTGATCTAGTGTGCTGAAGAAGTGGCGTGAGTATAGAACAGTTTGGTATTCAGTCTCTCGACCCAATGGAACACTCATCAGTTAACTCAAGTGTCTCCTGTATTTCAAGGCTTGACAGAAGTTATTTGATGTCTGAACTAATGAAATCCAAATTATGTCCTGTCCTATGGTAAAATATAACAATTTAACAACTTGCCACCCTTTATTAGTACACCAAATGTGCCACTTGAGACATCCTGGTCTGAGGCCATGACGTTCATGAGTCCATGACCTTTACTGCAATGCTCGGTTGTTTCCGGTTTTCAGCCTATTTAGAATGTATCAAAACAGGCTGTAAGACAACTATTAAGTTTGTTATCAAACTGTCTTTTAAACCGCCCACCCCCAAACTAGGATTTCTCAGAACAAAATATGCAATGAGAAGACCTCAGACAACTCAGCCAAGTTTTACCTCAATTTCCTGGAAAGAGCTGTTGATCATTGCGATAAGCATGTTCAATAGAACAATAACCATGGTGACGTTGTAGACACCGTAGAGGACATAACCGATGTTCTCAATGAACTTGTGATTGTAGTTTATGACAACTGATTTAACTTCTGAGAGTCCAAATATTGCCCAGAACAAAGTTTTGAAGCTTTCTTCTACTCTAAAAAAAGAAAAGAAACAATAAGCATGAAAGTAAAAACAGTGGCCAGTTTGGCCAGGGATCCTGGAGGGTTGGGGTTTTTTGCCCTCTTCTGGGCATAGAGCAGGGTTCACTGGGCGTGTGGAGGGGGAGGTATTTGTGAATGTCCTGTATTGTGCAGGGGGTTGGACTAGATGATTCTGGAGGTCCCTTCCAACTCTATGATTCTATTCTATGATTCTATGTTGCCTGAGATATACATATACATGATATATATACATAATATATATGATAGCCTACACAGGACCAGAAGGAACCTAAAGATTGTACCGTCTAATCCTCATCACTAGTAGCAGCTTTTAACCTTGTTTTGGTCTAATGTCCATTATTACATTTTGTTTTGTATTTCTTTTCTTGTGTGTTTTAATTGCGATGGCCCTTGGCTTTACAATAAATATTACTTGAGAAACAGCAGCTGAATTATTATTAGTTATGAATGGGGGAAGTTTCTTCTTCCATTCTGTGGACTCTTCTTATCCATTTCCCCTCATGGCTGGGGATGGCTAGGTAAGAAAGAACCAACTTCTCAAGTACCATACCATCCTAATAGTAATATAGTCTCATTGGAAATAACAAAGTTCCATGACACTGAATGGGGTCACAGGGCTATAAAAACAGCAATAACAGTTCTCCCTAGGCAACCTGAATGAGTTAAACTGTTTACTAGTAGGTCTCACATTATCTGTCACCAAGGATTATTGCCCCCTTTCAGTCTACAAATAGGAGGCAAACTGGGGGAAATTATCATCTTGTTAGGTAAAGTAAAGGTAAAGGTTCCCTTGCTCGAAAGCCAGTTGAGTCCGACTCTAGGGTTGCGGTGCTCATCTCCGTTTCAAAGCCGAAGAGCCAGCGCTGTCCGAAGACGTTTCCGTGGTCATGTGGCCGGCATGACTAAACACCAAGGCGCGCGGAACGCTGTTACCTTCCCACCAAAGTGGTACCTAATTATCTACTTGCAATTTCTTGCTTTCGAACTGCTAGGTTGGCAGGAGCTGGAACTAGCGATGGGAGCTCACTCCATCATGCGGCACCCGGGTCTTGAACTGCTGAACTACTGACCTGCCACAGCCTGCAGTTCAGTGTCTTAACCACTTGAGCCACCGCAGCTCCATTATCATCTTGTTACAAGTTTGTTATTTATAGGAGGCAAACTGGGGGAAATTATCATCGTTACAAGTTTGTTATTGATTTAGTACATATAATCAGTTCATACAAATTAGTGATCTTCGCTTTTGTGTGGGCGCCTTAATGGAAAATCATTTTGGCTTGGATCCACATTAGTGTTTCCATGGGTGCAAGTCCTTATGCCCACCGAATGTGATTTTCCCATGCCCCTCTTCTGTGGCTGCCCCAAATGCCCCCCAAGTCCTGTTCTTGGGGGAGAAAGAAGACCCCGTAGGAACAGGATTGAGAGGGCATATTGGGCTGTTGTGGGATTGGGGAAAGTCATACTTTGGGGGGGAAATGCTATTGAATCCAAACCGCTGTCTGCTCTAAGAACACAATGGAGTGGCTGAAGTCCTACTACTATACATTTTGGTCCTCGGGATTCACAACTGTCATTTTAACTTTCATGCACAAATTGTCTGCATGAACGGTACAGACCAAAATACAAAATATGAGATACACTTCCATCATGCTTTTGAAACAATTCGCTTTGTACTAACGATCTAATACAAGAGGTGGTTATGGACAGTTAATAAAACAAAGAATATTCAGTCAACAGGCTGTTTCCAAAGTAGCTGCATGTTGTGCTAATGTAGAGCTGCCATGACTGTTTGGGCACAATGATAAGAACAGAAGAGAAGCCAATGTTGGATCAGGCCAATGGCCCATCCAGTCCAATACTCTGTCACACAGTGGCCAAAAATACCAGGTGCCATCAGGAGTTCCAGCAGTGGGGCCAGGACACAAGAAGCCCTTCCACTGTTGCCACCCCCCTCCAAGCACAAAAATACAGAGCATCAGTTGCCCAAGACTGAGAGTTCCTATCTATACCTTGTGGCTAATAGCCACTGATGGACATCTGCTCCATATGTTTATCCAATTCCCTCTTGAAGCCGTCCATGCTTGTAGCCACCACCACCTCCTGCGGCAGTGAAGTCTCACAGGCCCCCCACTTGTAACTTTATAATAACCTACTTTACATCTGAATGCATCACTCCATTGTGTCCTTATAGCCTGAGAAATTAGTGTAGGCAATATTTAAGAACTGTAGGTTGTACTAGCAATTATAATGGATTTGGATACTTAGATTATGCCCTGTCCTGGATAGCCCAGGCTAGCTCGATCTCGTCAGATCTTGGAAGCTAAGCAGAGTTGGCCCTGGCTAGTATTTGGAAGGGCAACCTCCAAGGAATACCAGGGTTGTGATGCAGAGGCAGGCAATGGCAAACCACCTCTGAAATGTCTTGTGCCTTAAAAACAAGTCTAGCTCGCCACCTAGTGGTGCATAACACTAAAAGAGCTAGAACATCTGACTGCCAGACAATCTTAGGATCTCCTGGCTATACTACACACACTGCCATACGATAATTAATTAACTGGATTCTGCTGGTAATAAGCAAGTTACAAGAGTTAATAGTAATAGTATTGCAAAGGATTTCCACCCTATAAAATAAGCTGCAGCAGTGATCTTCAGCCCAGAGGTCATGACCCCCAAGTGGGTTGGGGAGACCAACGTGCTGGGTCACAATCCCATACTAACAAACCAATTTTTGCTGTTTTTTTGGATGGATCTCATCCAACTACACCTGCATAAAGAACAAGGGTGTTCACACCCCATGCCCTTCTTTGCGTGCATGCTGAACGGAAGAGGATAGCAAGGGGAGGTCATTCAGCAATGGAAAAGATTCCTGAAAAGGCAGGCTCAGTGACTCCCTTCCGGCAAACCCAGTCCTTTGCTTTCTCTCTCTGTTCTGCCTACCTGACACAACCCAGCCCAGCTACCCCCACTGGTGGCCCACCAGTGCTCATTGCTCCCCATTCCCTTCGGTCACATCTCTGACTCTTCTTGTTCCTGAAATCTTACTCTGATGTCACACGTCATTATGAGCCATGCTGCTGCCTGGAGGTTCAAAGTGGGTTCTGGGTCTGGAATGACTGAAGTCCATTGACCTACAGATTAGAATCAGATTCCGGAAACAATAACTTACGTAGTGAATGCTTCGTTTTGCTTTGCCCCCATGTAGTAGGAGTAGAGGTTAAACATTCCTATCATGAAGGCCACAAACACCATGATGAAGATGACCATGAATTTGAATATGTCTTTCACAGTTCTGCCAAGGGAGATCTGCAGAGGTCCAAAACTTTCATTGGCAGGCAAAATGTAAGCGATTCTTGAAAAGCTTAAAACCACAGCAATTGCATATAGGCCTTCAGATATGATTTGAGGGTCTGATGGATCCCAGTCTATTCTAGCTATAAAAAAAGGGGGGGGAGGGAAAAAAGAGATGAGAATTTCTGCTTAGCATTTTGGTGTCATTCCATTCAAAATGAAGAATGGGGCAAATCCTCAAAAGGGTTAAAGTGCCACTGCTCCCTCAAAATGGATGGTGCACTTGTTATTTTTATTTTTTATTTTCTTGTTAATTTCCTTGCCTGCCCCTTTGTAGCCTCATGCCACTGTAAACCTAGCTAGCCAGCAAATCCTGATTATTTACAAAACATCTTCATTGGCTGCTGCTACATTAGCAAGCTTTGAACTCAGTAGCACCTTAAAGACCAACACGATTTCCAGGGTATAGGCTTCGGAGAGTCAAGGCTCTCTTTGTAAGACCAGTGAAGAAGTTAATAATCACATTTTGTGGAGAAATAAACCCAACATAGATTGTAATAATGCTATACATGGGAGCGAGTCCCAAGGCCATCATCTGGACATAACTTCTGAGTAAACATACACAGGATCGGTCAATTACAGTGCAGTCATAAACAGAGTTACATCTCACTGAGGCTACTGAAGTCAATGGGCGCTCAAAGGGGTTTAACTCTGGTAGTTTCCTATTACCTGTGAAGATGGCATAGTGTTAGATAGTAACGTATACATCCCCTAATTTATAGCTATTCTCACAACATGTTATGAAAGGGCTTTGGAGTTTCTGAAAAGTGTCTTGGTGCACAACTCTCAAATAATGTCAGAATAGAACCAATGAATGTAAAAATAGGGTTGCATCCTGAGAAAACATTCCTACAACGGTGGTACTCTTCTGGCAAGGAGGAGGAGGAGGAGGAGAAGAGTTGGTTTTATACCCCGCTGTTTACTACCTGAAGGAGTCTCGGAGCGGCTTACAATTGCCTCCCCTTCCTCTCCCCACAACTGACACCATGTGAGGTAAGTGGGGCTGAGAGAGTTCTGAGAGATAAACTGTGACTGGCCCAAGGTCACCCAGCTGGCTTCATGATGAGGACTAGGGAATGAAACCTGGTTCTCTAGATTAGAGTCTGTCGCTCTTAACCACTACACCACACTGGCTCTGGTGGAAGAGACTTTCTATATCAGAAGAAGACTCCTTGAGCTGAAGAACAGCACTGATATTAGCAGAATGGATCCACAGGATCCAATCAAATACTCTGTAGTTGGTGGTTTTCCAAGCATGGTGCACAATGTGATTACTGTATGTGATTGCTTTTCGTTATTCACTGCCAGGGTTAGGGAGACACTTCTAGTCTAAAGAGGGGTCCTTGCTGGGTTTTAATAGGTAGGCAACAGGTTTTTAACCCTCAACTGGATAGTCCAGGCTAGCCTGATCTTGTCAGATCTTGGCTGCTAAGCAGAGTTGGTCCTGGCTAGTATCTGATGTAAGACCTCCAAGGAATACCAGGGTTGTGACATGGTGGCAGGCAATGACCAACCACCTCTGGACGACTGTTGCTTTGAAAACACCAGCTGTGACTTGACGGCCAAACCACCCAACCAAACAAACAAAATCCCAGCAGGTTTTAACCTTTTAGAAACACTTTACAAGATTTTAGCATTCATTTTTCACCCTTTTCAGTAATATATTCAGTATAAACAGAGGGACTCCTTTAAATGATGCAGGTGAAAGGTGATTTTTCTCCTGTTTCTAAGGTCATTACCATTTGTTTTCCATTACTAGACATTGATATACTGCTCTCTGCTTCAACGTTATTTTGAATAACCCAAGAATGCTACCTAATGAATAAACATAGTTATTTTATTTTATATAAGTTATTTTATAAGTTAACTTATATATATAATTCAATTCACTACTAATAAAACACAAGCAAATTATATATATATATATACATATATATATATATATAATATTATAATTTTAATATAAATATAAATGATCTTTTTTACCAGTCGAAGGGCATGGACATCTTCCTTGCCCATGGAAGCAGTCCTGCATTAGGGTTGGCCTCACATGCAGGAAGGGTGCCATTAAGGGGCCCTCTGCCAAGCTGAAACCTGGGTATGGAGATGCAGGAGTTCAGGCAAGATGCTGGCTCCTGTTGCCAGGACAACTGCCAAATCCCATGTTCTCTTGCAAGAAGTGGGAATCCTGTGAGAGCAGGTGACCTTGTTATGTCGTGGGTTGCCGCATGGATAAACGACCGACGACGACGACGTGGTGCATGGCACGCTTTATTAGGTACACAACAAGAACAAACGGCCGGTAGGCCAACTATATACATACCTGGGGACACACCCCTGGTCACCATTGGTGGGTTTGAATCTCCCGCCATGGTTCCCATTGGTTCCCCAGTGGAGGGACTAGGAGCCTAGTCCCTATTGTTCTTCCAGAGCCAAGCTCTGGCTGTTCGCTGGCCCCCGGTGGTGGTCAGCATACACTATACCCTCACAGAGGTAAAGAGAGGCCTAGGCCACTTCCATTTTTGAGGGGGGCCCCCACTGAAAATGAGAGGTTGGGAAGGCTAGTATTTCTGTGTCTGTAACTATAACCAAATTAAGAGTTAACATCAAAAGTGTAAATTTGAGGGGCCCCCAAGAATGTGAGGCCCGGGCCAAATGGCCCTGCTGCCCCCCCCCCCCCCGGGCCCTGTGTGAGAGGATGGAAAGCTTCTGAAGTACATGGCTTGCTGGGCACTATTTAAGTTGGGGTGTGACCTAGACAAGGAAGATGCACTCTGAGGTCAGCAGAGGATGGGGCAGAAAGGGGGAGGGGAGGAAGAGCCAGGTACTGCCTACACCCCCACAGCAGTGAGGCCAAGGAGCTCCAGATTGTTGACCCCAGATTCTAACTGATAAGATGGATATAGAGGAACGTGACACCAATGCTCAGCACAGACAAAACCCCTCACACTTTGAAACCCTACTAAATTTCAAGGCAAGAGTTGAGCAGACGTGGTTTGCCATTGTTTTCCTCTGCACAACAGCCACTGCCTTCCTTGGTGGTCTCCCATCCAAGTACTAACCACAGCCAATGCTGCTTAGCTTTCAGACTCTGACTAGATCGGGCTAGTCTGGGCTATTAGGCTGCTGAAACAGCCCTGACCAGGACAGCTCAAGCTAGCCTGATCTCATCAGATCTCAGAAGCTAAGCAGGCTCAGTATTGGTTAGTACTTGGATGGGAGACCAACAAAAGGAATCCGAAGGTCACTACGCAGACACAGGCAATGGCAAACCACCTCTGAACATCTCTTGCCTTGTAAACCCCATGAGGTTGCAGTAAGTCAGCTGTGACTTGATGGCGAAATAAATAAACAAAACAATTCTTTTTTTAGATATGTAAACTAATCTTAACGGTTCATACATATACTCACCCAAAGTGTAGTACTTGATGCTGGGTTCCAGTGTCGCTGCTGACATGTTTGATTTAGCAACGATGTTCTGGGCTCTGGAAGCGTGCCAAAATGCCATGAACCTCGCAATGAAGGAAGCGGCGAAAATAGCCAGCATACCGAAATCAAGCATATTCCACAACTCAAAGAGGTATTCCTTAGGGCCTTGAGACCAGATCTCTTTGCATTCGGACCATATCATACCTGAATAAGGAAAGGCAGATCACACACTACATTTAGCTTACAAGGATGCCAAACGACATCGGACAGAAATAGGGTCTTCCAGTAGGGATAGCCAGGCTGGAACTTGGGGAGCTGCAGTGTGCTTTTAAATTTTCCAGCATAGCAGGAGATGGGGCACCTGTGACTCCTCCCACCAGTTTCAACTTGCAGCAAACAGATCTGGTGTACAATAGGAGGAGGAGGAGGACAAAGGTTCAAGGGAGGGTCAGATGGAGAAGCAGCTGGGGTCGTCTGTATCTCTCCTTATATATAATTGAATAGTGGGTGCCAAAGTTCTAATTCTAAAATGCACTCCCTTAGTGTATGGCTGATGGCACTGCTCCTCAGCATATATCGCCACCAATCAGAAGGCAAAGCCCGGGTCCCGCCCACACCACAACTGCTGTGACAACCTGGTCTTTTGCATATGGAAGCTGATTGGACTTCCCGCCATTCCACACCTCAAACTCCCCCCCCCGCAAGGCAGTTGGAATGTCAGTTGCATATGGAATCTGCTGTATTCTGGTGGTGTGCAGGTCCCAGGTTCATGTTTTAAAAGCAGACTGACACTGTTTGCCCAAAGCCAGAGCACTCTCCCAGAGCCTCTTTCTAGATCCCGTATTTATTTCCACAAGGGGCCTTATTTCTAGTATATATATATATTAAACAACATGCTTGTTACCATAGTTTTGTAATATTTTCTTTACAGTTTTGGGGTATCCATTCATTCCTTCAGGTCTCCCATGGTTCTCATTTAATTCTTAAAATTACGTTTTTATATTAGCTCCCAACATGCGGCAGTTAATTAACTGCAAAGCTATACCCTACACCACGATTTCTCTGAAGTTGCATTTTAGTGCCCTCCAGTTGTCAATATTTTAATATGCTCATTAGTGCCGAGTTATTCTCATGCCTGGAGCAAACGCCTCTCCTTTAAACACTGGCTACAAAAGAGCTAATTCTTGCACCGCTGTCCTACGCAGAGTCACATTCTTTTAAGCACGCTGAAGTCAATATTCATGAAAATAGCTTAGGATCGCACTGGTAATAAGGTAAAGCCATCTACGGTGAAATGAGTTTGGTTTGATGTATGTTGTTAATTCTGGAAACCAACAATTCCCTAAGCCTCAGATGTTTTCAAAATAACTTGTCACCTCTTTGTTCTGCACAAGGCTAAGAAGAAAAGGAAAAGAGACATCCTTTTTATTTCTGTATCAAGAGTAATATGTGTACATGTTGGAACTGGATCCTGCCTTTCCTAAGCTTTTGAAATGTAAATTACAAATGAATTAATAACAACATGTCACTGGCAAGCTGCAGGGTATGTTTTAGATGTGACTATCAAATATATTATCTGGGCTGGATTGTGTACTTTGCATTTGTTTCAATTTAGTGGGGTTAAGTTTGGTACTAGATTAATTATTACCCAGGTAACGGGCCTGATTAAAGTGAGGGGCTGTGGCTCAAAGGAAGAACTTCTGCTTTGCATGCAGAAGGTCCCAGGTTCAATCCCTGGCATCCCCAATTAAAGGATCTGGCAGTAGGTGATGTGAAAGACCTGTACCTAAGACTCTGGAGACGCTGCCAATCTAAGGCCCCAGTCACACGGGGAATTTGCCGCGCAAAAGGCACAAATGTCAGGTGGATTTTTGGGGCGCGATCACACTGCAACATCTGGGAAGCGTAGCGCGCCTGTGGCCAACCCGTGGCGTCCTGCCGAAGATGTGGAGTTAAAAAGTACCAAGGAAAGTGTACTAGTATCGTTCCGGTCTTTGGCGCTTCAACGATGGCTCCTCCGAGAGACGTGTGCCATGAATCGGGGATTAGGAGGGAGTGTAACTGTACACACTCCCCCATGGAGCCCACATGCAAATAGGCTCCTAGCCAGGGGGCTTTGGAGAGCCCTACCTCCGGCCGTCAGCCAGTACAGGGGGGCTACTCTCTGCCCTGAAGGTCCTGCCCTGATTCCCAGAATTGGATTAGAAGTGACCACCGGATCAAGCATTTGGAGG